AATAGCTATAAAGCAGAGGCATGTGTTTAGGGCTATTTTATTGTTCTGGTTTAAGTCCTTGTTAAAAAAAAGAGCAAAAATTACCTCCAAGTCTGGAGCCTCTTGCAGCCCCGGGGCGAGGGGAAAGCTGTACGCGTAATTTGTCCAAAATTACATGCACATTGCCATACACTGTACGTGTGTTGTTGTATATGAAGCTGTAAACATTTAATATTTTCCGAGGAAAAGAAGGAAATTTCCACTACCTGTTTGCATGGCTAATTTAGCGTATAGAGTAGCGCAGGAGCAACATTTCATATGGTTTTAGTTACTAAGACAACATTGGACCTTTTTAGAGACTTTTTTGCGGTGAAAAAAGGGGGCTTTTTTATGCCCCCCCCCACCACTGCGGGGCGGAAGCGTCGCAGAATGCCGCCACGCAGAGTGAAGGGACATCAATAACGCTGCGCGCCCCCTAACTGAGGCGCTTCGTCGTCCGCTTCCTTTCCCACTCGGGCAGCAGCAGCAGCAGCGGCGGCGAAAACCGCGGGGAAGAACAAAGCGACGCTTGTGCCGAGAAGTGAAGTCGCACGTGGAGCGAATGCCTCGTGAGGCCCTCTTCAAGCAGCTCGGCACTGGCGGCAGCAGCAGCAGCAGCACACACACACAAAAAACCCTGAAAGCCAGCGATGGAGGCCCTCCCCGGCCTCCATACACACCATTCACAGGGCACGTTCATCAGTGTCCGTGTGACAAAAGGGGGAAGCCTGGGGCCATGCCAAGTGTTCCCACACACACACAGCATGAACACATATAACACAAACACTCACACACTGCACTGACAGGCTTTTAGGTCAAACGAATACTCGGAAATTTAGATGTGAATTTGTAAATTAAAAACAAATACCTACTATACGCCTGATTCCCCGCGTAATTACAACACATTTTTGGCTAATTCTGCAGGTTTTTCATGGCCTTTAACAGAATAAAAGTACATATACAGCCCTTTGTCAAGCCACTGCTGAATGTGGGTGGTGGGGATGTGTTTGACCACAACTCACCGTACTGGTTGGTGTGGGTTGGTGAAGGTGAACAGAAGTGGAGGTATAGAAGTACGGTACAACAATCGATTTTGCTTACTGCCCTCTGCTGCCTGCAAAGAAGCCCAACAGCCTACAACATGGCGGTCACACATACAAGTACTTTCCAGGCTAAACACTCCTAAACTAATGGCATCTGATGAGAATAGGTGCATTTTGGGTGATACATATGCCAAAGATCACAAGATTCCGAGGCTTGATTCGATGAATTTTCAGATAGTATTCTATTTGAATATTAAAACATGTAATCCTAGTCACCCAGAAAGTGGCTCGTGTCTTCCTTGCCTATGCATTCCAGTGCCTCGCTCTCTCTCGGCAGCTCAACGCACCCGACAACCTCTCTGGAAGCACGCGGGCAAGAGTCTCCATTAGCTCCCCCTCTTGTGAGGGGCTTTAATGGTGTTTGCACACAGAGCAGTGGCATCACAAACGAGGCCTGAGCTGCATGTTAACGAAGGGAACGCTTCCCAAGGAGTGCGCTATTGTCACTATTGGAAGGGGAAGGAAAAACACCGAGACTTGTCACGCCACCGGAGAATCGTGTTCCCATGCCTCCTTTTCAGCCTGTGCGCCTTTATGCGCCAGAGTGCGTTGTCGGCACGCACCCCAGGTGACACAAAAGCCTTTCTCGTTTCGAGTTTGCATTGTTCACGTTCCCCATTAACACGAAATTAAGACAAAGTGCGTTACTTTGTGCTTGCATAGAAATGGGTGCCTTTTAGAAAAAACGAATATGCATTTAGAACTATTTACAAATTCCCTTCACGTACCTTTTCCGAATATTCCAGTTGTTTAATTCATGTATATCGATACGCAAATGGGATTTTGCAATTATGGTATGAAATGCACAAACCGTTTAAATTTTTACCAATGTTTTTCAAATAAATTTGTAAACATAAATTGGTCGCTGAAGACATGTCCAAAGGCCCAAGTGAAACAATAATAATGAATTGGCATGTTTTTGTTCAGCATAACCTCCTCTTGTTTCCATTGGTGCGGAATCCGGGGCACCCTAAGAACAAAACCACGTGTATATGCTGTGTGAGGCTGGATTGTTTGAGATGCTGTTTGTTCCCAATGATGAGGGCTAGCTACAGTCCCAAAGCCCAGATCCAGGACAAAGTATAATCATGTATATATAGTGTACATGTACATGTACGGTCCATTTTTGCTTATCTACTGCTGGATGCGGGCCTCTCCATGCCTTGTGGGCTGGGTGGAATATTTGACTATACTTCACCACTTCACCACACTGGTCAGTGAGGTTTGAGTGAATGTGGAGGGAGTGCAGAATGACAATGACTTTTGCTGCTCCGCCCTCTGCCGCCAACAATGGCTACTACACTTGTTTTTTTTTAAACGTTAAACTAATTTAACGTTACCAGGTAAGGCCCACTGAGATATACATCTCTTTTTCAGAATCGACCTGGCCACAAATGAAAGCTCAACGAAGTGGCTTATCGTGTGGAAATTTATAGCAGCCAAATACTCGAAACGCATGTTTTTAAATGGAAAGGGAAAAACCGAAGGACTCAGGAAAATCCACGCGACCACGGGGAGAGAGAAACACGAAAACTCCAAATATACAGCAGCAGGCGTCTGGGTGGGGATCGAATCCACGACCTCCTGCGTACCAGGCGAGGGAGTTAATATCTCGCCACCGCGGCACCCATGGTTGGTCACCCATGCAGGCACTATCCAGGCTCTGAGATCTAACGTGTTTGCATACATTCCGCGTGATTTGGTCACAGTCAAGTGGAATAATATGGTGTGAAATATTCTTCCACAATGAGGCATTGATGATGACCATGTGCATGTCTAAATCCACCTTCACGATTTAAATCTTTCTTTCTGTAGCTAAATTAAATAAAGACGGAAATAAGTACGCCGTGCCAAGATCCACTTCCACCTTATATGATATATAATATCCTGCGCTATTGAAACGCATAATTCAAACACAGTAAAAACGCGCTCATTATGGCCCAGCTTTTAATAAAACCGTGCCCTTTTTTCTCCGGTTATATTCCCCACCTCCAACACGGCAAACGGTTTAGAAGTAGGCCATAATAAATCTAAATAAGTCGATGAGAATCACTAAATCACTCCGGCATTACTTCCCGAAACGAACTGTAAATGGAAACCAGGTTGCGCGGTGTGGCCGCAGCAATGCGGCTGGAAAGAATAACGGGCAGGCAGGTAAGGCGAGACTGGAAACAAAGGCGGCTGGGGGATCAATGCAAAAGCCTAGGAAGCTGGATTCTTAGGACCGCCAGTATAACTTGTCCGAGCGCTGCCATGGTTTTTTTATATCGTTGGCGTGCATGACAGGAGATTTTGTGTTTGTTTCATTCATCAGATAACATGTAGATCAATATACTTCCAAACATCAACATACAAAATGGTAGATTACTCTTGAGACGCGTGCCAAACATCCCCGCAACTAAATAAAATCAATTAATTAAATGCAGTATAATGTATTGGTATAAAATAGATGTATTGTGTAAAGTTTGACTTAATATGAAATCAAACAAATGAATAATGAGCAACGTTTACTTTTGGTGGTCAACAATGTGTTAATTGCATATGAACAAATCCCCATAATGCAATCAATTTCATCAGACCTCAGAAGCTAAGCAAGTTAAACTTGTATGGGACTATGAAGGGTGGTCATCGTGCACAGACTACCACGGGTGCAGGACGGCAACATCCATTGTTGTGCTGCACAACGCTCCAACACCTGTGCTCCCCGCGTTCAACCAACCCGCGATGACAAATGTGGGGAAGTATGACCAAGTAACCTCTGTGACCCACGTGGCGTGGGGAGGCCCTCACCCAGCAGCGGATTGACAAAAATTGGCCGCACGCGTCCAATGTGTTCACTTAATAATGCAACGAGCATTTTTCCTCACCAAAATTATTTGCCTTGCTGCTCAAACCCTAAGCATCAGTTCTGTGCATGTTGATGTCCGGAAGTAGGCAAGGCACCTCGTGGTTTAATGTGTGCCATAGGTCCTTTCCTGCCTTGCACTCACAGTTTGAGAAAACGTTTTTCCCTTAATTTTTAAGACCCACCCCCCCCCAGTCCAAAGCAATTCATGCAGTTGGGTTTAAAGGCTGATTTAAGTTGTATTGCACCATTAAAGGAAGGGTATACCATCAACATAAAATGTGGACCTTTTTAGAGTCTTTGAAACAGTAAACGGAAATATTTTGTTTAAATTCTTACCAAAAACTGTTTCCCACAACAATACACTGTTTTAATTACATTTGTGTTAAAATTTAATGGAATTGTACATTTTAACAAGCATATTAAATTCGGAAATAGTACCATGTAGGCGCCTTTTAATTTCTTTAAATCATTGACAGAATTATAGCTTTATTGATTTTTACTCAGAAATGCATTTAACAGGGACATATATATTTCAAATGGCTGTAGTCCAAAGGTTACACATTATGTGTACCTTCTCGTTATGCCTCACGTTGCAAACGTGTGCTTGTGTTGTAATCCATTCTGCAAGTCTAAAATGATGCTTTGCATTCTGATCAATTTAATTTAAAATATACAACTCACGTCTCTGCCCTTTCTCAGTCCGCTACTGGACGAAAACCTCTCAAACATGTACCATTGGCATGGGAGCTGTTCGACCATACTTCACCATGCTCGTCAATGCGGTTTGGTGAGGGGGGTGGAGGCAGGACTGGTTTGGACATCAATTGCCACAGATGCTAGCCATGGTTGGAAATCAATATCAGTTCACTGGGTTCGTAGCAGTACCAGAAATGAGACGGAATTGGGCCTGTATAATGTAAATACATTATGTATAGTATTTGGACGATGAGATTTTTTGACGAACATTTCGTTTTCATATACAGTCAATGAAACGAATACAATGATGGTTATGTTGTATAAATTTTGCTCACCTTGCTTTAGTCACGGATCTTTTGAAGTCTCTGTTGGCTGGATGTGGGGGTTATAGTATAAAAGAAGAAGAAAAAACCCGCACAATTTAATGAAACAAAATATTAAAACAACACAAACAGACACATTTCTGCTACCACTGTGGAAGTATTTTTCCCCTGCAAAACAGCAGGGCAGGTAATTCAGAAACAAAAGCTTCACTGTGAGGCACATGTGAAATTAATTTGTTGCCTCTGAGCCTATGGCTCACTCCTGACAGCAGACACATTCATAAGTCCTGGCTAAGCAATGCCACGTGGGATGAAATGCTACACCAGTGAGGCTATCAAAAACACCACCAATCCACCAATCCACACTTGACAATTTTCACTGATTTCACGAAGCTGCCTTTTGTTGGTGCATTCACAGATTTCACATTGAGATCCTTCATTACGTGACATACATGTTACCATTCGTGTGTATGGGCCTCCCCTAGGTCGACTCAGCCTCAAATGAGTACCTGGTGCAGTGTGTAAACATTGCCACTGGGGAGACAAAGGCGGTCGGGCATGGTGCTGGCCACCCACCCCCTCGTGTGCCGTTCAGGCCTTTATAGGTGCTCGCTAACAGTACTTGCCCCTACAGCCTGTTAAGGCTACACGGGGGGTCTTTGTCTTTAGTGTATGTGCAATACAATGTAGAAACGCTTGTATGGCATTTGCATTACACACGCATGTGTCTCGTATTCAATAATGTACTCGTGTTTATTTTCAGACCTTTCTTTCCCACCGCTGCACGAAGGCCTCCCCACAATGACCACAGTGATCACACACTGGACCCAGCTTGGTGGAGGGGAAGCCCACAGGACCCGTACTGACATCACTCGCCACTGATGCCATCCATGGCCAGGGTTCGAACTCGAGTCGTCAGGTTCACTGCGTAAATCACAACACTACCACTCCCCCTATATTATATACGTGTGTTTAACACGCATTTTTTAAGATTCGTATGCAGTTAACGTGTGTATGTGAAGTGTGCATATACAGATTATTGAAAATGCATGTTTATATGTTGAGTGAGCTGGGTGTATGGGGGCAGCCAACCATTATCCAGTGACCCCCAAACTAGAACAGCGTGATACAAAGTGTGGTGTATTCATGACTACATTAATGCCTGCAGGTCAGTGGGTGTGCAATGACAAATGTTAGGCTTTTTTTTGTAGTGTTGCATACAACTAACTCACAGCCACAACTTGCTGATAATTTTTTCTTTATACTAAATAAATAATTATCGGCTCATGGGGCCTATATGGCCAGGCTGTACAAGGAGCAACTCAGTAATGCATGGACCCAAAAACGGCAGAATTGTTTGGACCCTAAAACGAATGTACATACATAATGTACATACATCATGCACGTTATGTATGTTATTAATTGTGAAGAACGCAACCAATAAAAAAGATAAATTGTAATTGATATGAATACATTACCCCCCTCCACCCCCCCCCGATCTTCGTAACTGATTGGGTCACTTGTGACGACATCACGTGTTTCTCTATTTAAGCCCAAAACAGGATTTCTCCACAACTATGCCTATCACCTGATGATGCTAGCTGTAATTACCGCCGAAACGTCGTACACAAATTGTAAATGTTGTGGGTTTACTCTCCAACACACTGATGTGCTGAACTAGTCACGAACTGGCGCGGTTTGTTCGCGTGACAAACCTTACTGACTGGCTGTGTCGGGTGGTGGCGGGTTTAACAACACATTTATATTTACGCGATCTGACCCAAAAAAAACTATTATGGATAATGAATCAATGTGTATAGCCGAATGTACACACGACAAAGCTACCTGTGTATATGGATAGCCTTGGCTATTTGCTTGTACAGTCTTGGCTTACGGCACCACACATTCCTGCGGCACATGGGTGTGGGTCAGAACCGTGCCTGGGCCAGTCTCCATGTGGCTGCCTAAGTCCCAGATGCCCTTCCTTTTTGCCTGAATGCCAGTAGCAGAAATGGGATGGAATTAGGCCAATTCTACGCTATAAGCATCAGAAATACGTATTCTTTCAATGTGGATTCTGTTCTGGCAGTGTGGAATGGGCCTGAAGCTGCATTGTGGTTGGCTAGAATTAGCAATGTTCAACGATGCTAAGCATAACTGAAGCTTAACTAAGCTAGATTTGCAATAGAATCACAATAGAATCCCATTCAGTTGCACAAATCTTCCATTGTAGAATCCCATTCCATTGAATTGATATTTTTAACATGGGAATTGTCAACAGGACTCATGATTCCTGCAAGAATTGTCCAGCAGTAGACTCGTGGGAATTGAATATTATTCCGACATGAATCACCCAGTTCTAATTGGCATGTCAATATCCCATTTACCAAGAAAAGCTTTCCTGAGTCTCAAGAATATTTTTTATAAGCAGGATCCTGTGTTTGAATGTATGGCCAATTCCTTTTGAAGTTATTCCCTGTGCAAGCGAACTGCAGATTAAAGAATCAATGTCTGTCCCGCCATCTCCTAGCCATTTTGCACTACCCAAGGCCTCTAACACGTGGTATTCCCTGGCAGCCTCTCATCCAAGTACTCACCATGCTTAGCTTCCAAGATTTGATGTGATTAGGGGAAGTCATGATTTTGTCACTGAGCATGTATTTACTGTACTGTATGTGGTTCCATGTGTATACATGTGTTACAACATACTAGTATAAGCTCTGGTTCAACAGCGTGTGTTGACGGTTGGGTGGGAGGTGCTTTTCCATGCATATACTGTCATCTCCTTATTTTATCTCTCCAACCCGACACTGACATTGCTATTGATTTCGAAAATAGCCCAGTATGTATGTATGCATGATGAACTTCTTTCACACCGTAAGTAGCCAACCGTGCTAATCGGAGGTGTGGTAGCCTTTGAAGCTTTCAACTCGGCAGTAAAAATGGAGATGCGTAATTAATGGAGTCCATTGGAAATTATATTAAAGATGGCCAGAGACGTCAGCATGTATTACTGTTTCGTGGCATCCGCCATTGGCCCTCAAGGACATTACAGTATGATGCCACAATACCTGCTCTAATTATACCACATCACACTGTGTATAAGGAGGGACAGCGGTATATTTCATACATTACTCGAATACTGCTTGAAAATATCAGTCAAGCAGACAGCGGGCAAAGTTGGCTTCCAGCCGGCTTCGCGCAGACTTCACAAACCTCATGCACTGCATGAATAAAAATAAGGGATTTGGCAAGCAGACAACAGAATGTCAACTATAATGCCAAACAGAAAGAAAGCTTTCTTTTGACGGGCGTTGTTAACGATTGCCCTTACCTCTCGCTTCAAAGGTTACAAGGGTGCCAAAGAACAACCTAGTTTCTGTGACTCGTCTGTGCACTTCATCTGTGTGGGGTTGTAATAAAATCTTTTACATTTCCACATAACTAAAATAACACAATTCTTCACCCCTGTGTGCCTGTTATTTTTTAAAAGGCTAATTAGTAATGGGTGTGGATGGTAATTGCAGACAAATGTGTAACCTTCTCCTCAAGGCTGCAATGTGCACTAAAACGGTCAATGTCTAACACATTGTCCATCATCATCATCTGTTCCTTGTCTTTTTCATAAAAACCAGCACAGCTAATAAATATTATTACTCTGACGATCATAATCCATGAAGTAATCATTGCCTTTGAGTGCACTGTTGCTATTATTATTACTCTATTGCAACAGTGCATATAGGTTTTACCTTTTATTATGCATCATATGACAATATTATTTTCATGACCGTATCTTTTATTGTAAGTTTTAGAAGTTCATGTAGTAATGTCCTAGTCATTGTTTCATTCCTCCGACTCATCATCTTTATCCATCCATTGATCATTGCCAATATCGAAATTCATGACCATCATAAATACGATCATATTTCTCACTGACCACAGGAAATTGATTAAGCCACATTGCCAGAAAACATGGTTGTTGTTGTTAATGAGTCTTCTCTTCTTCAGCCACGAAGTCAAACCACTGGAATTTGGCTTTGAGAGGGCCACCTTAGAGGGTGTCGCAGAAACAACACCAGTCCTCTGGGATGTTCTTTATAAAAGAGACAGTGTTGAAGTCAATGCTTGAAAAAGCATGTACAGAATGAATGCTTAATACATTAACGTGATTAATTATGCGTTTTGGATTTGGCCCACTATTGCAAAAAAATTGCCTTCAGGGGTTTCTTGGCATCCTCCATCCTGGAATGTCGTAATGTTGCTCTGTTTTGGGTTATTTTACTTTAAATGTAATCCATGATATATTGTTCCAGTATTTCGTAGCAAACATTTGGATCATGGAATTCAGTTTGAACACTTTGAGTTTTTTGGCACTTTTTAAAAGTTGTTATTTGCCACGGAAAAGCTTGAAATTATAAACTTCGATTGAAACTGTGGTAACGTGACCCAATAATTGTCCAGCTTTCAATAAGAATTAAAAACACGTTTTGGTTCTGTCCAAATGTATATTTTATGGTGCACATTAATTCGTGACAAAGGATTAATTGCTGGCACATTTGTATAATTCATTGTGAAGGCAATAAATACCTCCACTGTCATCAACAACTCCAACGTAGCCTTTAATCCAATTGAGACAAATGTCTGAGGTGTTTTCACTTCGGTAAGATTTTTTTTCAATGCCACCTTTAAAGATCATCACAATAAATACATTTGTATTTTCGACTTTGTCAAGCCTAAAACACTCACATTTACAGTACATATGGGAGAGCAGTAATGCAGTAGTTGGGGCACTAGACTATGAACCCAATGACCTGAGTTTGATTTCCAGCCATCGCCCTAGCCACGCCTCCTTTCTCGAACCCTCTAGAGGGTTCCAGGGGCTTCCACGCGAGGTCTATCATGACCCCGGCGTGTGCACTAAGTGCCCACCTGCAGTTGCTGCTGCTGCTGTCCAACAATCAGCGCTATGTCACTACACATACACCCAGCAGTATAAATCGGTACAACACAGTTAGTCGATTGGCATGTTGCATGTGGTGGGTTCATGTGTGGGTACTCCCACCTCTTTTAAAATGTCCGGCCAGTGTGGAAAAAGAAGCCAATATATATATACTAATGAGGCTTTCTCGATCGCCCTCTTGCGGAGGCATACGCTAGTCATTGAAGTGCTGCACCTTTATCTTTTACAGAAACACCTTTTCCTCACTCGTGTCGTAAACAGTCAAGCCACAAGGATCCTCACACCATACACTGGAAATGTGGATGTGGATAACCTAGACTTTCTTTAGAAGTTAAACAGATATATAGATCTACATCATTAGACCTCCTTTGCCAGTACCAAAGTATAATAATAGGGTTTTTCCCCTTTTTTCTGCCAACAAAACTGAAACCTTCTTACAAGGAATCATGTTTTGATTAAAGCTTTCGTGACTGCAGGGATTCATATTCTTGGTTCTTTGGTAAAGTCACGTAGAAGGGAAACAATAAAATAATAAAAATAATAAAAAAAATATATTTTTTATTATTTTATTGTTTCCCTTCTATGTGACTTTACCGAAAGAACCAAGAATAAGGTTTCAGTTTTGTTACTTTGGTACTGGCAAAGGAGGTCTAATGATGTAGGTGCTCACCCCGAGCCCTCATTACTTTGATAGTGCATTGTCTTTGAGCTGTGTGACGCCTTTTGGCGCCCTCTGGTCTAGCACCAATTGAGATAAGGCTCAAAAGAAAGCCGTCTCTGGTGTGGACCAATCAGTTTCAAGGACAGTGCATATATTATCAGTGTGGTTTTTTTTTTGCATTTTGACCACAAGTATTGTGGTTAATGCACACATGATTCCTTGTAAAAGGTTTCAGTTTTGTTGCCAGAAAAAAAGGGGAAAACCCCTATTATTAGATATATAAATACTAAAATAAATAGGATATGCAGCCATACAGTGTGTACGTTTTCGTGGTCTAATACATTATGTATATTTTTATAATTGCAATTCGTAAATCTTCAAGTGACGTATCTCCAACTGAGTACAGCACTCTTGTCTTATAACAAAACCCATGCTTACTTTGTCTTGAATTCAATAAATAGAATGAGTAACACCTTTAAATGCATTGATTTAACTATTTAACAAGACACTGTGAATGCCTGTAGAAGATGCTTTTTTTAAAAATACTGGAAAAATAATATTACACATCCATATGTCCATCCACCGCTGCATGAAGGCATTCTCATTCCAGTCATGGGGGTTGTTTACAGTTCACGGTAGTTTATATAATATTATATTCTTGGTTCTTTCGGTAAAGTCACGTAGAAGGGAAACAATAAAATAATAAAAATATAAAACAAATGAATCCCTGCATTCAGGAAAGCTTTAAATCAAATGTTTATATAGTATTGTTTTCATTTGGACACTTTTGGCTATCGTTTTATTTAAGTGACGTGTGCCATCGCCCAGTTGCTAAACTTGTGTCGTTCTGTAAAGCAGTCTGCTGCTAAAACGGCTGCAAGTGCGTTAACCAAACGGAATCATTTCAGATAAACAATAAACACATTCGGCGTCCTTTCAGTGCAGGAAGAGCTTGGTTTCAGTCCCAAAGCTGGCAAGATGAAATAGGTACAGCGGAGAATGCTAAGGCATACGCATTTGCTCATTTTAACGAACTTACAGGGCTTTGTTTAGCTACTTGCAACGGCCGTTGATATCAATCAGATGCATTTGATAATTTCAAGCAAAACCTAGAATGGAAAACAAAGAGTGAGTTGTCTTTTTCTACAGGGCCGTATCATTATAGGAGCTTTCAGGGCTATTGTTTCTCGGTTAGAAATTATCCTAATCCTGGGACAACGGTAGTCAGCCATCCTGGTCACCGATCAGAGCTGAGCTAATCATGCCAGGCAGGGCTCCGTTTAAACACACATCCATGGCTCATTAACTCCGCTGAATGGCTCACGCCGAAGACAAAGATCTGAATGCTGAATAGCATCACATAATTCCCACCAAACCTGCACAATCATACACTGTGCTCTATTGTTTATTCTCTTTCAGACTGTTCATTATGCTGTGAACAAGGTAGAGAAGTGTAGTGTAAATGGTATAAGCATGTGTCGCGTGTGCAAAAAAGCGCTAAAATAAGTTGTGATTTTTCAAGAAAATGTACTTATATATTGTACAGATTGTAATGTATTTACATAAACGTTCATTGAAAGTTTACAGAAGCCGTGTTTTGGCAGAGAGCATTGGTTTAATTTATAAGAGCACACCTTAACATATTTTGTAGGTATATTGGACATGTAATCAACATCATGATGTCGTCATAGCCAAAGTTGTTGATATGGAATAGCCCACTTTTGGTACACAGTTGCTATAATTTATAGTTTTTTTTTACATTTGTAAGTGTTCAGGTGTTTATTGCTCCCACGAGAGTTTACATGAATAACATTTGGAAACAGACTCACTTAGACGATCTCTGGACTAACATTTATAATTGAACCTTATGGCGGGACGCCGGTGTCCCCCCATAAGCCCCCGGCTCTTGCATAAACATATTATAATGTAAACATTATATAATGTAAACAAAACCTTGCTCTTTTGCACCAATGGGTTTGAAGGATGGTGGCAAGTGTTGTTTTATATTCTTGGTTCTTTCGGTAAAGTCACGTATAAGGGAAACAATTAAATAATAAAAATATAAAACAATAGAATTCTCACGACGTTTCGACTACAGTCGTTTCGACGTCACGTAGAAGGGAAACAATAAAATATAAAAAATATAAAACAATAAAATTCTCACGACGTTTCGAAACGACTGCAGTCGAAACGTCGTGAGAATTTTATTTTTTATTTTTTTATTGTTTCCCTTCTACGCGACTTTACCGAAAGAACCAAGAATATGAATCCCTGCAGTCACGAAAGCTTTAAATCAAAAAGTGTTGTCTTGTTAAACCTTGCCTTTAAAACTGAAAACTACTTACCTGCAGTACCTCTATTTAAATACACGACCGAAAAAAGAATTGACACCCCTCTGTCAATCATCGTGTTTCTCAGTGTGGATTTGTGAACACACTTTGCAAACAGTACATAAAATAGTACGCGTTTTCAATGCGCTGTTCATATTGTAACAAGCGTTTATACCAATGTTGCTTTAAAGTGGGTCGCCGCTCCTCTTATCCGCATTGATACGGGCGGTATATCTGCACAGATGCATACGGACAAGAGAAGTATTAACAGGAGGAATTAACGGTGCAACGCATCTCATCTGTTAAATATCTGCAGGTAATCGGATTGTCATTGATTGATTCTGGCTGCAGACATTGGAAGGTCACAAATAATAATGAAGATAAGAAAGCAGTTTCACTGTATTATGCAAACCGTTATGACGAATAAAGGACTTAAGTCGTGTAGGCAGTTTGAGCAGCTTTGGATAAGACTTACTATGATCCCTGCCCATACCCGAGCATGGAGTGGATTCGCTTGTTCAGCTCTTCTGCGCATTCGTCCTCGCCGTTGCGCTTGGACACAACATGACAACAGAATGATCCGTGCCGGGTGGGTCGCGGCGTTGATGTGCGCGGTGGGACGGAGTCCCCAAAAATACAAAATTAAGTACGATTTTGACGTCCGTTTGTTCGAGACCCCGGGGTCCCGCCATAAGGTTCAATTGCTGAAATGAAAAAAAGTATAAATTTAAATAAAAATGGGAGCAAATGTTTTTCGTCAAATTAAAGGTTGTGCAATTGCTTTGTCAGCGATTACAATGTTTTCTGTCAAACTTTTAATAAACATTGTCTTGCATTATTTTGATCATTTATTTAACTTGACGTGTTACCACGAGTAACGTGAAGAATAACACCCTAAAAAAACACATTTACATTTAATGAAGAAGAAATAACAAAAAAAATCTACTGGGCTCTAGAAAAACGTTAAATATTTAAGTAAATTAAATTCCAAGTGGTTAGTCACTGAAACGGTGCAGAATAAAGGACCGAAACGAGTCCAATGAAGGAGAAGGTTGTTGCCTCCAACATTTTTGACTGCGATGTGAACAAGAATTCAGTCATTACTGACAATATGGCAATTAAAAAAAAATATCCGAGAGGCTGCGCCACCTGCAGTAGGTGGCGTATTTCCACAAGCATTTGACTTTACCGAAAGAACCAAAGATCCTTCCTTGCAGTCACGAAAACTTCAAATCTAGAATCATTTGATGCGGTTTGACTGTGGCCCCTATTGTGCAACGTCCGATGTGCCCGCAGTGAACCATCCTCTGCAAACACTTGCACTGATGTAGTTGTACTCGTCCCACAAAAGCAACGTCTTTGCTTTCTGTAAACAATCTACGTGTCCATCGGCACCCACCTTGCAATGTCTTTAGCTGGAGAGAGAGAGAGGGAAAAAAACGAACGTTACCTTTTGCAGTTGCTGGCCGCTTGGAGTTTTGGGTTTGTGCTCGGCAACTGTGACGGGGTTTTTTTTGTTCTCTCTTTTATCAAAGCAGTGCGGTTTCAAGCGCGATTTGTTGGGAATGATAGACCAAGGGCGCCCTCTGGTGGAAGTGAAAGTCTGGGAGTGAGGCGCGCCCACTGCTGGTTGCGATCACAGGAAGGCCTACCCTGCAGCTAACGGGATTATCTTTCTTAGACGAGGCAGTTCTTACTTTTTTTTTAAATCAGGTATTCTGATTTGTTTCATATTGTGAGCATAAAATGAATCAATACTTTCAGTATCTACTAGCAGACAGTCGAACCGAAACGAAATATGGAACCCAGAACCGGTTTTACCCATATTATTTCCTGCACCGAAACCGAAAACCAATTAAAATTATTTTTTACGCGCCGGAATGAAAACATATATGTATTAAGAACGCGGTTACCGGTTGTAACCGTATTCTTGGTTCTTTCGGTAAAGGCACGTAGAAGGGAAACAATAAAATAATAAAAATATAAAAAATAAAATTATCACGACGTTTCGACTGCAACACAAGCAATCATCATCAGGTGGGAAAACCACAGCAAGAAAATTTGAAAAAAGTGACGCTTTTTCGTAACCTTAGCACCACGGAGAGCGATTTGGCAGTTATTCAGATGGACGAGTCGATCTATGTTCGGAAAAGAGGAGGGGGAAGATGAAAATAATGATGTGGTCTGAAAGCCACCGTAAGCGTGAACAATCAATTAAGACCCGAAATGGTTTATCAAATCCTTCCAATGATTGCTAAGCCAGAATCCATCTTCTCGGTTCAAATTGTCTCTGTGTTTGTATATGTGAATAGCCTCATGAACGAATCTCTCATGGTAGCCAGATGGCTTGCAAATAACCTCTGTCTTGGAGAAGTCAATGTCATGTTAGCCTACTGAATTATAACAGTGATCTGCCACGGCCGAGGTGTTGGTCCTACCGTGTTTAAGGTCTGCTTTGTGTTCACGAATGCGGTCCGAGACATGTCGTTTTGTTTCTCCAAAGTAACTACAACCACAGAGGCAACTTAGTTTGTAGACACCAGGGTACTGTATGTCCGGAATCACATCTTTTACAGACGGAACCAGATCACGGATTTTATGTAATGTGTTGAATCGGACCTGGATCTTGTGTTTATTCAAGACTTTGGAGATCTTTTTTGTGATCCGCGCAATGTAGGGTAAAGTGATGGTTTTGAAAGGCTCCTCAAGAGGGTCCTTCTTCATGGTTGGAGTGATAGCTTTGCGGATTGTGTAGTCTGAGTAACCATTAGCCTTAAGAGCTTGGTGTACGTGCTTGAGTTCACTGGCTATGTGTTCCTGGTCGGATATGCGTTGGGCTCTATGGTGCAGCGTCTTGATGAGGAAATTCTTCTGGGATGGATGGTGGTGGGAATCCGGTTTCAGGTAAGCATCCGTATGGGTAGATTTCCTGTAGACAGAGTAGCTCATTGAACCATCAGGTCTCTTTTTTATTAGGACATCCAAAAAAGGTAGCTTGCCATCTTTTTCGACTTCCATGGTAAATCTGATGGCTGGGTGTATTGAATTGATGTGGTCGAGGAATTGGTCTAGAGCAGGCCGGCCATGTGGCCAGATGACAAAAGTGTCATCCACGTACCTCTTCCATAAGGTTGGGCGCAGAGTGGCAGTCTGGATGGCATCAGTCTCAAATTTATCCATGAAAATGTTGGCTACAACCGGAGATAGGGGGGAGCCCATTGGGGTGGCCTCAGCTTGTTTGTAGAAAGTTCCATTCCAAGTGAAGTATGTATTGGTCAAGCAGTGTCTCACCAGGGGGGTACCTCAGTGTTTAGTCCTTGATGAACCAAGTCTTCAATGATTGCGATGGTGTCAGGTACAGGAACTTTGGTGAATAAGGAAACTACATCAACACTGACAAGCAGGTCGTCTGGGGACAGGGAAATACCCGTGATTGTCGATACCAGGTGAGTATAATTTTGTACCGTAGAGGTGGTTTTTCCAGTGAACTGGTTATATAAAAAAAATTATTGCGTTTAGCAGAACGTTTCTGATAAAATTAAATTAATATTTAATTTTAAGATATGCGTTTGTGTCTGTAAATCAGCATTAACAATAGAGACGGACATACAGAGAAAAAGACAAAGATCCCCCGTATAGCCTAAACAGGATGTTGAGGCAAGTGCTGTTAGCGAGCACCTATGAAGGCCAGAACGGCACACGAGGGGGTGGGTGGCCAGCACCACGCCCGACCGTCTTTGTCTCCCCAGTGGCGATGTTTCACACACCGCACCAGTTACTCATTTGAGGCCGAGTCGACCTATGGGAAGGCCCAGGACCGGTTCAAATAATCGTCACCGGTGTTGGCCGTGAGCGGGATTCGCCGGGTTCATAGCGCAGCGCGCAAACCGCCACACTCCTGCCCTGTGCGTGTCACTACGGCTTGGAAAGGCGTTGGTGCAGCAGTGGATCGATCATATAATTGATCAGACACTGCGTTACATAACCAGAATGTTGTTTCCCCGGACATTCCGTTTTTCCCATGTAACCCGATGGGCGTTTTTTTTAAGGTCACCTCTGGCAATTCTGGTTTTCCGAATGTTAGCCTCTGAGGATCACGTTACGCGATTAAACCCACAAACCTCTATTGTGGATAATATTGGTCGCGAAAGCCTACGTTTTGAACTGAGCCTTTGAGGAGTCTGTTTTTCCAATGTTGTCCTATGGCCATTCATTCCCCCCCCCCCCCCCCCCCCCCATGTACCCCAGTGGCATTCAAATTTCAGTATGAGCCTCTTGGTATTGTGCTCTGTGGTTCTTTCGGTAAAGTCACGCAGGTAGAAAAATAATAATAATAATAGATCACGACGTTTCGATCGCAACACAAGCAACCGTCATAAAAAAACTGCTGAAGTTTTATATTGCTGTGGTTGTCCCACCTGATGACTATTGCTTGGCTTGCGATCGAAACGTCGTGATCTATGATTGTTCTACCTACGTGACTTTACCGAAAGAACCAGAGTATGGATTCCTACAGTCACGAAAGTTTCAAATCAAGATTACAGGTATTGTGTTTTACCATGTAACCCTATGAACATTCCGTTTTTCCCTTTATAGTCTAAGGGTATTCAGTGTTCCCCATCTAGTCCTATGGGTATTCCTTTCTCATTGTTATCCTATGGGCATTCCGTTTTCCCAATATAACCCTATGGGCATTCATATTCTATGGGCATTCTTTTCCCATTACCCTATGGACATTCCGTTTTACCATGTGCCGTAAATGACATTCGTTTATCTGTAATTCGTTTTAGTCTGTTACACGTGTCCTTCCCAAGCCGACTTTTCTTAATAGCTCGGATGAGATCGTTAACCTGCATATGATCTCTAATCCACGCGCTCCTATTTCTGTCTCTCAAAGTATTTCCAAGCTTGCACCTCACCACGTTTCTTCTGCACACTTTTTAAGTTTGTGTTCCACTATCTTTCGTGAATGACCATGTTTCAGCACCACGTCATAGCGTGTAACATGCACTGATTTAAAATTGTCTATTTCGGCGCGTGGGTACGTCACTTTTCATTGTCCAGTTCAGCTTTGCAAATCTAACTGTTGCCCACCTCTTCATTTGGAGTTTGCATGTTCTCCCCGTGCTCGCGTGGATTTTCCTCCGGGTCCTCCGGTTTTTCCCTCCACAATTTAGAAACATGCATTTAGAGTAATTGGCTGCTATACATTTCG